CGAGCATGAACGATAGTGCCCGACGTGGACACCTCAATCGAGCTCCACCGTCGAAGTACCTGTAGGGCAGAACACCCAGCTCGCGATGGGCAGTTCACGCCACGGGTGAACAACCCCGATCCGGGCCATACGCTCGAACAAGCGGCTTCGCTCCGCATGCCCCGACGAATCTCGAAGAACGTCGGACCATCCAAAGGGTCGAAAAAGAATCTCCCCTCGAGGTCGTTACTTAGGCGAATTTCGCCACCGAATAGAAAGCCGAGCACAAGCATGTCCCGAACAAAAGACTTAGGAAAATTTGCCAGCAAAGTCACAACCACACACGGGTAAGACTCGGGGCCATAACTTAGGCAAGTTCTATCGCAAAATATCAAAACATAAACACGGGCAAACAATCAAAGTTGAAACAAACATTCATTCAAAAAGCTCGTGGGCAACAAAACAAATAGAAATAAACCGACCAAGAAGGCCGACGATGTTCGGAAAGTACAAGAGCGGGCACGTAGACCCAAAAAGTAAAAACATGCACGGGCACGCAGGCCCCAAAAACAACCATCAAACAAAAGAAATGGCGCACATGCCCGACTAAGATCTCGCAGCTAGACTTCCCCGAGGCTATCACCGCCGACAACAGGAGACTCGGGCGGGGGCACGACCTGGCCGTCGATGATCTGAGACATGTAGCCCACTCCTTCAGTATTCAGATTGGGATTCAACAGAGCGAGCTGGCTAACCGCGGCTTCAAAGCCATCCGCCAAAGCACCGACACAATCCGCCTCGAGGAGTTAAATACGAGCAACCAGTTCCGACCGACTCTGCAAAGGAGCTGTCTCCTCCGACTCATCCTCGGCAGGGAGCATGGCGGCCTTTAGTTCCTCGACCTCTTTGGCGAGGCGCCCGTTGTTAGCTTCCAAGCGTTCCCGGTCCTCACGGAAGTACTCCCTCTCCTCGGCAATCTTCCCCGAGTTCTCTTTCTCCGCGGCCAGCAGCTCGGCTTGCTCGCGGAACATCTCCTCGGAGCGCTCCAGGGCAGCCTTCAACTTTCGTGAGCTCGCAGTAAGGGAAACTTTCTCCTGTTCCAGCTCCTTGATGCGATCAGAATCTGCCTCCTCCTCGGACAGGACAACGACCATCTCGGCCATTTTGACCATCCCGACCATGTTGGCGGCCAGATGCTTTCTCCGATTTTCCTTGCTCAGCCGCCTAATGGTATCAGCTTCGTCAGCGCTTACGGACAAGGGAAACCCCTCGAAGAAACCCTCCTCTTTAAAATAGGGGGCAACCCGAAGGACCTCACCGCACCAGATTCCTCACCGACCTCCGGTTGGCTCTCCACCCGGTTCCTCTTCCTCGGTATCAGGTCGGTATGCGGCTCAACATCCTGAGCATTCGGGGACCCTCCAGAAGCATCGCCCGGGCTAGTTGGCGGGCCCATCCTCATTGCCTGAGGAGCTCGCACCACTCTCTTGTTGACTTTCTTATCCTGTGTCAGCTTCAGGAGCCTCTCCTTTCGTCCAGCCATGCGACCTGCATAAAAGAATCCCGGGTTAGTGACGAGCAAATAACAAGCGAAGAAATTCAAACAAAGCAAAAAAATAATGACCTAGAAGGTTCGCGGCCTGCCCGAAGGACTGGCACTCCACGAGCGCCTTCGTATCGATAGGCCGGGCCTCAAAGGTCGGATAACCATCTTCGTCGAAAATATCCTTTCCCTCCCTCGTGGCCCACCGGGCAGGGAAGAAACTATCGACATATCTGCAGAGGGTACCATAGGCCTCCTCATCTTCGGTGCTCATCCCACCCGCGGGCGTATGGTAGTGCCCGGTGTCGTGCTTGTAGTGACGCGAGGTCCAATGCAAAGGAAACTTGGCCACACGCCCCAACATCGGGCGTCCCTCATCGTCTAGAAGAGCCTCCCCGTGATCGTCGGTCACCACCGTTTCTTCCTCGTATACAGACTCCAGACCAGTTTTTGTAACCGGCCGCACGATGTACCATTTGTCCTTGAACCCCCAGACATAATCCATATACATCCTGAACAGTCTCTTCGAATGTTTCAGGGAAACCCAATTGTGCCTACCTCCCCGAGACTGGCGCTGTAAATGGAAGACTCGAAAGAAGAGAGGTATGGTCGCCCCAATCCTTAAAAAGCGACACGTCAGTTCGAACGCCCGGAGGAAAGCAATCGAGTTGGGGTGAAGCTGCGACGGGGCCAGCTCCAGATGACTAAAGACCCCGACCTGAAAATCACTAAAGGGGAGCTGTAGTCCAAGGTCCTTGAAAGCAATCTCATACATGGGAAACCCGTACTCGGGGAACTCCGAGCAGATCCGCGCGGTAAGAGTCGGTCTGGTGACAACGAAGTTTTTCTGAAAGTCGGGCTGACTACCGCCCTGCTCGATGATAGTATACGCACTCCGACTGCGCCGACTATAGGCAGAAGCAATCCCTCTGAGCTCGGCGCCCACCCACTCCAGCAGAGGATCGTCGATGGTATCGACCAGATTCACATTCTCCTCGGTGCTTTGATCTTCCACCTCATTGCGCTCCGAGGAACACGGTTCATCCGCCATTGTAACCTGCAAAGCACAGGAAACCGGTTAATTAGGGAGCAAATCCACACGCTCTCCATAACTGACAGGAAGAAGGGCACGACAAATCGAGTCACACTCCACACACGATTAAAAAGTTGAAGTTTCGAACAAAAGAGTGGAGCCACCTCCCCGACGCCAAGATACCGCGACAAGTCTTCCTACAGATTGCCTAAATGGGCCAACATCCCGGCCAGTCACGAATATGTCGACCTAGGCTATGGACATGGCGAGCGATATCATAAATCCTAAAACTAGAACTATGAATTTATCGGGCACTATCACGAATTAGGCGCCCTGAATCATGAAGATCCCGGGCAGCATTGCGAGTCAAATACCTAAACTATGCGTTTACCGGGCACAAACATGCGTTTGCCGGGCATAAACGTGGATTTGCCGAGCGAAAATACGAATCTACCGGGGCTAATCCCAGACGCACAGTCTCTAACGTATAAAACAATGGAAAATATCATATACCACGGAGGAAAAGCAAAAGGGACAAGACGCTTACTTGAAATCAGGAAAGAGGTACGGCGGCGGAGAAGAGAATCAGCGGCGGAGAGCACGGCGGTCCTATGAAAATCTGGAAAAAATAGCAGCAGCAGAGGCAGAGGAAGGAGGAGAAGCGCGAAGAGGAAAAACATATTCTGGGGCCCAAGGACCCTATTTATAGTGATGACGTGGAATACAAAACGTCATCCCGGGGAACCACGAACTTCCCTCCTCGACGCATAGCTCCCCTAGACAATGATGATCCTATCTTCAATAGGGTGACGGCACGGTTCCCAAGAGATGCCTCGTGTGCTCAACGAACACAGCCCGTCGAGAGTCCCCCGAGCACTCCTCGAAAGGAATTATCTCACGAGCGCGACACAGGGGAAACTCCTCGAGTGACCACGGGGAACTAAATCTCTTGTCCGAGCACGGGACCTCGTGACGGAGGCGAACTAAGATCAAGCCATGGCTCCTACTCCAGGAACCACGACTTGGGGGGTTCATGTTCTGGACTGGGCCGGGCTGGCCCAAGAGCAAGGATGAAGGCCCAATCCAAACAGTTTTGCAGATGGTCGCGCCGACCAAGAAGCTACAGTCGTGTCCTCCACCGTCCGCGAGCGCGACATCTTCGACTCCGTGCAGTCCAACTCGATCTCAGCTCGAGCACCCCTCGTAGGGCAGACTATGACCATTACACCATCACCTGGATTCCGAAAAGACTGCGTCCTCCTCCGTCCGTACTTCTCGCAGAACACCCAGGAAGGAGGCCACGTGTGGGTCCCCACTACACACGTAGAACCTGACAGTTCCTTCATTGGGCCAAATCTACCCGACCCAATGAAGGGACCTTGGCCCAGCGCTGAGGGCTATAAATACCCTCTGTTCCCAGAGGGTCAGGTATTCATTCTTTTACCATACACACACTTTCTTGCCTGCTCGTACTGCCACTTACTTTAGCATCGGAGTGCCTTGCAGGTATCCCCCATCTCGTTCAACTTCAGCTCGGAGCCAGTTGTGACGGTTCAGGTCTGATCCGATAAGATCAATTATTATTATTAATTTTTTTAAACTAAAGTAACTAATTTTTATGGGTAAATAGATTGATCTAAATTATATAGAAATAACAGGTAAAAAAATTGTGCGGTTAAAAATTAACACGATAACAAAGTAAGAGTAACAGAGATGTTAGATGAGGATGTTACAATTGATGTGTGGTAAGACTAGAGAGGATTGATTAGAAATGTAAATATTAGAGACATTTACACATATAGTAAAAAAGATGCTGAAAATTAGCCTTATGTGGTTTTGATATGTAGAGACATGATCGGTAAATTCTATGGTAAGAAGAGTATATTAGATGGAGAGAAGTCAAACAACTAAAAAAAAGAGGAATATCTAGAAAGACTATAAGAGAAGTTATTAAGAGAAACCTTGAGATTAACGATTTGAATAGAAATATGATCCTAGAATAGATAGAGCATTACGGCGAAAGTTGTTCATCGTAACCAATTCCACTTAGTAGGATAAGACTTGGTTGTTATTGTTACTCTAGAAAAAAAAGAAAAAAAGTGATTGACTAAAGATTCAATTATGGAGCAAAATTCATGGTTTTAAGTTTCGGCATCCGCAATTGCGGTAGTAATATAGCAGCTATAGTTGATGCGGCAGTAGCGTCTGCAACAACATCGGACGGTAATTTCAGTGTAATTTAAAGTTTCAAAACTCCAAATCTCAATGTTGTTTCATTATGAAAAATATAAACATTAGTAGTTTCTGAAATGTGTATTTCAAACACAGCTCAATTGATATTCAAATATATCTGAATTCGTATTCACGTTGCAACAACCTTAATATGCGTCACATAGTGATAAATTAATATTTGTTTATGTTTTTTTGTTCATTCATTTGTGATAGGGATGAATCTAACCTCATTGAGAACATTGTCAATGATGTGTTGCAAAAGCTACAACTGAGGTATCCTAATGAACTAGAAGGTATTGTTGGGACTGAAAATTTTTGTGGAGTGGTAGAAACATTAATGACAAGTATTCAGATACTTGGAATTTGGGGTATGGGTGGAATGGGAAAGACAACCATTGCTAAAGTATTGTTTGCCAAATTCTTTGCCCAATATGACCATGTATGCTTTGCTAATGCAAAAGAATATTCACTCAGCAAGCTTCTCTCTGAGCTACTCAAGGAAGAAATTTCACCATCTATTGTTGTAGGAACTACATTCCATATGAGGAGGCTGAGAAGTAAAAAGGTTTTCATTATACTTGATAATGTGGACAGTTTAGATCAGTTTGAATATTTATGCAGGGATTTCAGCGACCAAAGTAAGGATAGTAGACTCATTATAACAACGAGAGACAGACAATTGCTCAATGAAAGAGTTCATAAGATATATGAGGTCAAGCAATGGGAAGATAAAGAATCACTAGAGCTTTTTAGCTTAGAAGCCTTCAAACAAAGCCATCCCCGAAAGGGTTACGAGGATCTTTCGCAAAGGGCAGTTGCTTATGCAGGAGGCATTCCACTTGCTCTCAAAGTTTTGGGTTCAAATCTCCGATCAAAAGGTACTGAGTTTTGGGAAAGTACTTTCAGAAAACTCGACAAGTTTCCAAAACAAGAAATTCAAAAAGTTTTAAAAGTGAGCTATGATGGATTAGATCGACTAGAGCAGAAGATATTTCTAGACATTGCATTTTTTTTCAAAGGAGAAAAGAAAGATCATGTCATAAGGATACTAAATGCTTGTGGGTTGGAGGCAAGTAGTGGAATAGAAGTCCTAGAAGACAAGGCTTTGATAACTATTTCAAATGGAAATAGAATACAAATGCATGACTTGCTAAAAAAAATGGGTTCAGACATAATGCGTAAAGGTAAGAGAGGAAGGAACAAGGTAAACCCTGCAACTCATACACGATTGAGCGGGAGTGAAGCGCTTGAAGTAATTAAAGAAAACAAGGTAAGAGAGCAAGGAACAAACTCATTTTTCATAATATTTTTTCAAATAGAGACTGTAACTAATAGGACGCGGTTTACTTTTGTCTTGTTAGGGGACTAGTTCAATTGAAGGCATAACACTGGATTTGTCTCAAAATAATGAGTTGCCTTTATGTTCCGACACATTCACCAAGATGAAAGCCTTGAGAATTCTTAAATTCTATATCCCATTGGGTCAGAGTTGTAGTAATGCATACCTCAACCTTCCCATGGAACTCAAGCCATTTTCTAGTGAACTGAGGTACTTTGAGTGGATTGGATACCCTTTTGAGACACTTCCACAACCTTTTTGCGCCAAGTTGCTTGTTGAGATTCGTATGCCGCATAGTAATGTTAAACGACTATGGCAGGGGATGCAGGTGAAAATATATAAGTTAATGACTAATTTTTTGTTGTTGAGAATTTTGCTTTTTGATGTCTTGTTTTGAATTGTTAACAGGACCTTGATAAACTAGAGGTGATTGATCTAGGTGAATGCAAACATTTAGTTCAGCTTCCGGATTTGTCTAAGGCATCAAAACTTAAATGGGTTAATCTCTCCGGTTGTGTGAGTCTGGTGGATCTTCATCCATCTGTTTTTTTGGCTGAAACACTTACTACTCTGATACTTGATGGGTGTACAAAGCTTAGGGGCGTTAGAGGTCAGAAACATTTAAAATTTTTGGAAACGATCAGTATCAATGGCTGCACAAGTCTCGAGGAATTTGCCATCTCCTCGGATTTAATTGAAAACTTGGATTTAAGCAGTACAGGGATTCAAACACTTGACCTATCTATTGGGCTTCCTCACAATCTTAAGCGGCTTAATCTTGAGGGTTCAAGACTTGAGCATCTTCCAAAGGAGTTACCTAGACTGACATCTATGAAGGAGCTTAGGATTTCTGGCAGAGGACTAAAAGTTAAGAAACAGCAGCTAGATGCCTTGTTTGATGGCTTACGGTCCCTACAAGTACTACATTTGAGGGATTGTAATAACTTGTTTGAACTCCCTGACAACATCAGTGTCCTATCACAATTACAGGAATTAATTCTAGATGGAAGCAACTTGAAAAGTTTGCCTGAAAGCATCAGGAATCTTCATGAGCTAGAAATTCTGTCATTGGAGGGTTGTAGGGAGATTCAGTACCTTCCAGAGCTCCCCTCTCTCATCAAATTGTTAAATGCCAGTAACTGCACGTCCCTGGTTTCAGTTTCAGATTTAAAAACTATTGCATCAAAGATGATGGGAAATGCCAAATACATTTCATTCAGGAACAGCTTGAATTTGGAGGAACATAAAGTCAAACATATAACGGAAAGTCTCAATTTAACAATGATGAGCGCTGCATTTCAAAATGTATCTGTTAGAAGATTTCGCGTGGATGTTCACAGCTACAACTATACCAGTGTTGATGCTTGTCTACCAGGAACAAGGGTCCCAAGACAGTTCAAATATCAAATTACAACCGAGTCCTCCATTACCATTGAACTTCCTAATCATTCGAGCATACTGGGATTTCTTTACTCAGTGGTTCTTTCTCCAGCAGGTGGAATGAAGAAGGGTGGGACTATAATAAAATGTCGATGCGATTTGGGAGAAAAAGGTACAAAGGTTTCAAGGTTTAATACTTATGTCACAGAACTGAACTCGGATCATGTTTATGTATGGTACGATCCATTCCATTGTGACAGCATTCTCAAATTTTATGAACCAAAGCTTTGTTTTGAGTTTCGTGTTACTAATGATATGGAGGAAGTTGATGGTTCAATCTGTATTAAAGAGTGTGGGGTACGACCTGTATATGCTGATGAACTGCAGAGTGTTTTACAGCAATTGAATTTTGATTCGGAAAAGAGAAAAGAGTTGAATAAGGCTGTGCGATTAGAATCAGGATGTAGGATAACCTTGAAGCCAATTGAAAAGCATTCTACAAGCATTATACAAGGTTTGCAACTTCTTACTCCCTTTCCCTAGTCTCATATATGCTACGATGAATGAATGGATGGTCACTTAATTGAATGAATAGATCCTTTTTATGACCTTCTATAGCAGGTTAAGCCTGTGACTGAGTCAGTCAGTTTGTTAAGGTTGTTATAACTGTTTCTAACTGTTCTAGACAGTTACAGGGCTGTATTACAATGTATTAAGCCTACAGTAAGTTCTCATGAGCTTGCTGTTAGTTAAACATAATATACTCATATAAGAGATGCAGCCAAAGTTTCCACTAATTAAAGATAAAGTGGACTCAAAATTTCCAGAAAGTACTTCAGGTATAACATCAATATTCATGGGGTGTGATTGACTAACCAATTGCATGAATGAAGCTTATGATTGAATCAATCTTCGACTTCAGCAAGAACTCAGAAATTGAACAACCTTCAAGTCTTGTGTCTGAGTTCAGAGTGCAATTTGCACAGATTTGTATTAAAATTGTTAAGAGTCCCACATCGGACAATATATGGCCTGAACATGTGTTTATAAGTGTGGGCAATCCTCACCCTACAATCTGGTTTTGTAGGGTTGAGTTAGGCCCAACCCACATATTCTAAGATGGTATTAGTGCAGTTTTTTTGCTCAAATATGCCTGTTCTCTGAACTCTATTATTTTTGCTATGTATTTCATTTTCATTGTCTTTAATCACAGACTTAGACTCAGAGATGGTTGAACCAGAGACAAATTCTAATTTAGTTTCAGAAATACAAACCAAGTCCAGTGCTGCAAGTGGTAGCAAGAAGAATGCCAAAAACTCTACAGAAGTTGTGAGCACTTATCTTTTCTTGACAAAATTGTCTTCCATCTTAATTGAAAAAAGCAATGTTTTGATTTTCAAAAATATCATTTTTTTACTATAGTGAGTTTTCTGTGCAGGTCAAAAGCAAAGGAAATAAAGGGACGCTAATTGAACCCGATGATGAATTATCTGAATTCGTTGGGTCACAGTTGGACAAAGCAAGTGAATCTAATGAAAAATCAAGTAAGGAACTTTATCTGGTGAATAAACCATTACTAAATGAATTATACAACCATTTTATTCAATGAGTGGTTCATTTTTATTTATGTTGTCAGTAGCTCAAAAATTAAATTTACAAAATCTCTCAAACATTACATTAACAAGTAATGTTTTTCTCTACTCATTAAAGTTGAAGTGTCTCAAAATCTGATACAAGAAAAATGTGGTAGCATTCATGCAACATACAGATACTGCAACATCTGAGAGTTTGTTTTTGTTACAAGTTGTTATATTCGGTGTTAATTAGTTAGTGTCCAACTGTTCATAACTCAACTGATTCTTACTCCATCAATTCATACTTTCTTTTGATGAATTTATGTTTTCTTCTATTTGTAATTTTTCTTTGTTTATGTCACAGAACCAACATCGGCAATGGTTAAACACGAATCATTTGAAGAAGATAATGATAATGAAAGCCACTTCTTTAATGTGGAGAAGAGCATCAGATCTTCTAACAAAGAAACCAATACCAATGCTGGAACCAGTCATGAGGAGGATATTACCAACTCTGCAAAAGTTGTAAGTCGCTACTTTTATTTTGACAAACTGTCATTTTATAGAAAGAAAAATGTTATTTGGACACCTTTCTCCGTGTCCAACACCTTATTTTTATACGGTATTGTTTTTTATTATTTTATCCTCTCCTATTGTCACATCAGTAGTTATAACTTATAAATGATATATTGTTATACGGTATTGGGATACGGTATCAATATTTGGGTGTTCAAATAACACCACTCCTGAACATTAAACTAAATCATGAATACAAATATGAATATTAAACCAAAACATGAATACAAATATATACAAGCTATCATGATTCTTGAACTAACATAACAAATAAAAGTGCATAATATTAATATGGTTATTGAATTTCTAGAAGCCACTAGCCCATCTTGCCTTGACCAATGCTTTTTCACTGTGCAGTTCAGAAGCAAAGGAAATGAAGGAAAACCATCTCAATCTGAAGCTGAATTTCATCTACTGGTAACGTCATCTGTTGAAGACAATGCTCCTGATAACAAACCGGGTGAAAACAACTATGATTGGCAAGATAATTTTGACGAGGCCAAGAATTCCGAAGAAAAACCAAATATAGAAGGACAAATCACTGTTCCTGACACCAATGTTCTGATAAGTGAACCAGAACAAGAAAAAGAAAGTGCACCAATAGTGAATCATAGCGAACCTGAAGGTGATCAAGAAGATGGATCAGATGAGGACCCTTTTTCTGAGCTTGAGAGCATTCTGTTGGGAAGTCCAGAGTCCTCACCAAAAGCAACATGTTCCACAAATGATGATGCTGTAAGAGAAGCTTTGCATAACCTTAAATGCCTATTGGAAAATTCACTTGAGTCCATTCTTGGTGATCTTGAGCTACAACGGCAACTACATATGTCTTTTGAATACATAAAACAAGCATCACATGAAAATGTTTCTCCTAATATTGTGAACCTTGTCCAGAAAATGACATCCTCTATTGAGAACCTTTTCAAAGACTTTGCCACGACTAAAAAAGTGGTTGAGGATCACATTAATGCTTTGAAACAAAAAGAAAAGCTCATGCAGCGAGTGAGAGATGTTAAGAAACAAAAGGAATCAAAACAGAAAGAAAAGAGACGGTTGGAAAATGAAGCCAAACGTCTCAAGGAAGAGGGTGAAAAGGTGGATGAAAAAATTCGAACTCTTGTTGAGCAAAAGAAAAGTATTGAGTTGGAAATAACCAAGTCGAATGAGAGCATGGAAATATGTGAAGGTGAAAAGCAGAAAGTGAAAAATGAGGCTAAGAATATGATAACTGAAAGCAAAGAGCTTATGTTGAGTGTTAAAAATTCTAAATCTTCATATGGTGCCGCCTTGTCAAAGCAACAAAAGTTAAGAGACAAATGGGAAGGTTTCAGAATAGATTTTGCAGACGACTTTGGAAGTAGCAGTACTTGAGAAGTATTGATATGTTGGGTTAAGGGGGTGGTGAGTCTCAAATTTGCAATGCACGACTTAAATATTAGACATATAAGAAAGTTGATTCATATATATATATATATATATATATATATATATATATATATATATATATATATATATATATATATATATATATATATATATATATATATATATATATATATATATATATATATATATATTGTCTTAATATTTTGGATGGAGATGTAGTGTCCAGTTTTTGTGATCTTAGAGTATGATCAATTGTTACAAATAGAAAATTAACTTGAAAAGCATTATGTATTATGTTGTGAATCGAATGCCTTTTAAAAACAAGGTATAAACTTATTTCTTAACGATCAAGAAACAATTAGGGTTGAAAAGATGGAAAAATAAGAAGAACACAATGAATTAGTTATTAACTGTTATTCTTTACTTTCTTTTCAAACAAGATTACAAGTATTCAAGAATAACAAATAACCCTCTCACCCAAAATTAGGATTTGCAGTATGCAACGACGAGAGACTAGTATGCTATTTATAATAAACCTAATATACTAAACAAATAGTTTTTTTTCACAAATACCCATTACAAGCTAACTTAGGGTACAAGCTAACTTAAGCAATTGGACATAACAAACATGCCCAATTCGATGCTAATAATCTTAGCATTCTTTGACATCTACACACTAGAACACCTTTTGACTACAACATGTAATTCTTCGACAACAACACGTGAACAATCTTCGACGGTATGCTAAACTCTGCCGAACTGTCAAAAATAAGAAGCTACCTTCGACCAACTAGAGTTTGATTCCAATATCTCACAAATCTCCACCTTGGAACGAACTTTAATATCAAAGTATAAACTAGCTTTCTTCATGCAACTTTATTAACTGCATATAGTGGAAAAACTTGCAACTGGACAATGTCTTGGTGATCATATCAGCAGTATTGTGATATGTCGAAACCTTCAGCACTCGGACTTCTCCGCGCTTGATTACCCCTCTAATGAAATACATCCTCACATCGATGTGCTTAATTCGCTCATGATAGGCTGAATTCTTCGACAAATGTATTGCACTTTGACTATCACATTTAACAATGATAACTTGCCCTTGAACTTTCAGCTCCTTAGCAAAACCTTCAAGCCACAATGCTTCTTTCACAACTCCAGTTAAAGCAAAATATTCCGCTTCAGTGGTTGATGTTCGCGATCAACCTAATGTGTCTAACGGTATCCTAACTGCAATTGCACAGCCTATCGCGGTAGTAATAAAAAGATGTCGAATCCACAGGGACTTTGTAATCACTCTAGTGCTATAAAGGTTTGGTAGTTTAGCTAAGGCGGATGTTGTCACGTTTGGTTGTTTAGAGGTTAAGGTAAGGGAAAAATAAATCAAATTAATGGGATAATAATAATAAAACGGTCGGTATGTAATGTAGTGAACCTAAGTGGATCTAGTCGAACCTAAGCATATGAAGATGTTTAACTTAGATGGTTCTGTAGAAATTATCAGTTTAAAAACCCTCAACTCACACTCTCGTGGTCTTATCTCGGATTATACCCCTAAAGCCCTATGCCTGCTCTCGCTAGCCCATAAGTGTTTAGAAAATACTTTTTGAAAACTTAATAAAATCTATTTCGTTTTAAAGCGCTCTCGCTGTATTTAAATCAAATGCCTAACTTTAGCTATCCGGTTAAAACCTCACACTCTCATGGTCTCGATCCTAACCTATTCTACTTTTCTTACTCTCGTAACAAAAAGATTGGTTTTAATTATAAAAAGTCACAGCCAGAATTAAGTTAATTTAGATTTTAGCTTAGGCACAATTTAATCCATTTGGTTACTATTATCACATCCCGACTCTAGTAAATTAGCTAGTCATAGTACTCGAAACAGACATACAGAAAATATAATCGGGAAAGAATAAAGCATTCATGATAAAATAAATAAACATAAACAAATTATATTAAAATTTAATGCGATTTAAAATCCTGAATAACAATATTATTCCTCAAGCTCCCTCTTCCACAAGTCGGCAAGATTGGAACTTCGAAATCGGAACTTGAAACAAATTCTGAGGCTAGAAATAAATTCTGACTACAATAACAATTTCCTAATGTTGGAAATAGTTATTAATTGGTAAAAGGGAAAATAAAGCAAGAACAAAAAAATGCAGTATTTAATTTTGGCAGGGCTTCGGCAAGAAAATCTGTAGCAAAAACTCATCTCTCGTTCCATTAATATGCCTCCTATTTATAGAAGAGGATTTTTGCAGTTAAGAGAATTTAGGAATGTGGACTTGCATGCTTGAGTGGAGGAAGACTCGGACTGTTCGTTGCTGCAGTTGAGAAATTGTAGGAGAAGAAAACATCCATTACGTTGCCCACGTCTCCTATTATGCATAACGTTGAATTACGCGTGTGACGGTCGTCATGAGGAGGTGACAGTCGTAATGCGCTTAAATAGAGCGTTACGTTCGTCAATGATGTGTGACGAGCGTCCTTCAAGTTGTGAGCGCGTTACGCTCGTAATGGGGGTGTGATGGTCGTCACAACATCAATCTTTGCAGATTTTGCAGATTTAGTTCTTTTTCTTCTGATTTTTTGTTAGCTTTCTTCATGTGATCTTTTTTCACTAATTTGACTTGAAACATGTTGTACCTGTGAAAAGACATAAAAACTCGGAACAATCGGGAGTTAAATGGGTTAATGCATTATGAAAATCGATTAAAAATGTAGTAATTATATGATACGATTTCTCGTTATCAAATTTCCCCATACTTAAACATTTGCTTGTCCTCAAGCAAATAATCATTTAGAAAGATCAGACAAGTTTTATCAAGCGCGCATGCATGACATACCTTTGGTTTTTAAAGCAATTACGGGAAATCCTCGTCAGTTCGACTGATACTTAAGTGAAACACTAACGATACGCTAATGAAACAAGCAATAAGCTAAGTCATGGGTTTCCATTTCAAACAAACTGTCCAATAGTTCCGTTATAATTCTGCCCAGAGTTTCTCGTATCTATTTCACCCGATTTTGTTCTAGCGCAATCACATTAAGCCCTTTGTCTTAGCACACACGTAGTGGAGTAACCGGTTAGTGACTTTGATCCTTTTTAGCACGGGGTCTGGTACACGAATGTGGCAACCCTATACATATTATCCAAATTGGAGGTTGTGGGGGATCGAGCCGTAGCACGCCCTGCCAAGTTCAGAACCAGATACCTCTGAACCAACCAACAATGAACTCCTTCATTAATTGCTCATGTCTTATATGCGACCTTGTATTTTGGTGCATTTTTTTTTCTTGTTTAGCAGCGAGATAAGAAGGATATTTCATTGATCAGGCATCAAACACTTATATTCATCGGTTCCCCACGTGGTTTGTGTCAAGACGGTGCTGACTGCTAGTATAAACTAATAGGGGTTACTTTAGAACTAAAACTCAAGATATAGGTATAATGGTTATTGAAACGGATCGCATAAGTAGGAAGTCTAAGGTGTCATAACCGTATCGATCTTGTTAAATCGTTCTCGGCTTCCTTAACTAGGATTTCGTTAAGATAGGTATGTCAGGCTGATGCGAAGATAAAGCAAAATTTTTTGGTATGGCTAAATAAAGCGGGGAAGAATTTAAACTGAGAAATAACGTAAACAATTACTTGTTTATGGTAGATGGAAAGGTACCTCTCCCACACTAAATCCGACATTGTCCTCAATGTTGCGGCATAAAGGCGGGGAAATACAAGTACAAGAACAAACAGAAAGGAAAAGAAACACAACAAGTAAACTACTTAGAAAATAAGAAAAACTACGGATGGCCATGTCCTCTACTCCTGGTGCGTGATTGCCTGGTAGGCATGGCTTCGGTATCAGTGGGGGTAATGTATGCAAAGGAACTCAAAAAATCCAAGGTGAGAGTTTTGTAAATGGGTTGCGGTTGGCGGCACAGGTTCCATAAATTCACATTCTGCAAAAGTTGTCGGACGCTGTCTAGCAGTCCCAAATTCCTCAAACAATCAAGGTCAACATACCGAGTAGGTTGGAGACCACGGCGTTGGAACTTATGGAATTTGAGTCGTTGTGTTTCACCTTGCTCGCCGACTCTGAAAGTGAGATTGGGGATTTGCTGGTTGTTGGCCATATTGCATGTGTGATACGGTGGGAGAACTGACTATGGTTTTGCGTTTGTTTTCGCAAATGTTTCGGTTGAGCAAGAGTCGCCACCGACTTTTTATTTTATCCTAAGGAAAGGTTTAAAAAGCACAGAAAAAAAACCTTTGAGATTTTTCTTGGGTTCGGGGAGTAGATTATAGAAGGGGAAGGTATTAGCACCCCTTCTATCCATGGTTATCCATGGGCTCTTAGATACTTGCTTAGATCAACTTGCCTTAGTTTTCAATTGTTTGAAATGGTGCTTTGTGTGTGGCTTTGAAAAGGTTTTTTAAAAAAAGATGCCTTGCATAGGCTACCCTTGTAACAATTCTTTACTCGAATGTTTTACAAAAGGTGTTTGTCTTTTTGAAAAGATGTTTCAAGGTTTTTTTGAAATTTTGTTTTGAAAGTGTTTGTGAAGTGGATTTTGAAATTAGGCAAGTGTTTTCTTGGAAAGTTGACAAGTACTTAAGAGTTCATCTACCCTAAAATTTTCTCAAAGATTTTTGTTATGCTTCAAACCTTTTGACAATTTTGTTCCACCATTGCATTTGGTGGACAATCTTGTCTTAGGATGTGGAAGGGACCGGCGCGGGTCATCGTTTAGACCATAGTTGCAATAGTGTTAAATGTCTTTGGGCAATTTTCTTTGAAAGGGGCTTGATCATTCATTTAAGCAACATTTTGAGGGACAATGATCATTTGATTATTTTGTTTTGCCCAAGGAAGTTCAACATGCAATATGGCCCATTTTTGAAAGGCAACAAAGTGGAATACCCTAGGGGGTGCAAGTGTGAGATGTGTTGTTTATTTTCATGCTCATTTATCTTG